TCATACTTTTTGCCCTTTTCTGAGAGAAAAGTTGTGAAATGCAAGGTGCAGAGGTCTGAGTGATGACCAGCATAGGCGTGTAGGGCAGGTACTGCTGTTGGGAAAAGTTTCGCAAAACGCGCCCCACCTCACCCCCTCCTCCCCTCGTCCCCTCCCCCCCCCCTCACTCAAAATTTGCTCCTTTGGTACGACCGCGCCTCTATCTGACCTACCATCTTTTCAACCTTTCCCAACTTCTTTCCATTTTTCCGCATTTTTTCGGAAAATCTGCTTTCCCCAACATCCGGCGTGGGGTGGGGAGGGATGAGCGGACGTGAAACAGAAGAAAGCGGGAAAGGTCAACAACCGAAACAGTCTTCCACAGAGGCAGTGCGGCTCTCCTTCCTCAACCAACCAAATAGGATCCTTTCCCTGCGGATCCCAACGATGACGTATCAGAAAGGGATAGAGCTGTGAGTTCAAGTGGAAAGGTAGTAAACGAAAATAAAGAAGAGCGCGAGCGAGTGAAGCTCACGTTGTAGTAAAATAGGGACACACAAAAAAGGAAAAGGGTGCAGGCACAGTTGTAGGTTGTCAGAAATTCGAGAAAATTAGTAAAAATGTAAGGTTTGCACAAATGAGGAAACTGGTGTCCTAATCGGGTGTCTGTTCATTTGTGATCAGTTACCATTCTTGTTTAGGAGCTGATACCAGAACTGTTCTACTTACCGGAAATGTTGCGGAATAACAACGGATTTGATTTGGGCCAGAGATCAGATGGAGTGAAGGTAAGCCGGTCTTCTGTCTAGATATGCTGGGTTGTGTGGAGGTGAATGCAACAAAGTTCAGCCTTCATATATAATTGAACAACAGATATATCAAATATGAAGAGAATGTCTCCCTCAGCCGACGTTTCTAAAAGTAGCGAATCAGCAGTCCATGTCAACTGCATGGTTGAGTATGTTCAAGGTGTAGACGGGATGATGCATGCTGGTTAGACTTTTTCCTGCCCACTACCTGCCTACATTTCCTTAGCGTGTCCAAATATGTTTATCCATTCCTGAATAAGTATGGAGAATACTGGAACAGGACCGAGCAAGTATGAATGATTGAGGAATACGAGACGTGAAGGTCGAACGCGCCACCGAAGCGATGCTGTCGCGAAGTCTGAACGCAGTCTAACAGCTGACGGTCGTAGCGAGCGAACAAGCTTCCACGGCGTGATGCTCGACTCTGACTAGTGAGAGATATTCAGTGACAAGAAGCGTCATAGCCAACTTCGTTTCGAAGACGAATCTGCGATTCGGTCGTCCCCGAGACTAGCCAATTTCCATACCTGTAGGGTAGTCTACGCGGTGCTCCAGACCCCAAGTGGGGGGGGGGGGAATCAAAACACTGACTCGCATCGATTCGCTCCCCTCAGGTTTAGTGCGTAGACCACTTCGCATTCACATGGAGGATGAGTGCGTGACGCACATCAGGGAACGGAAAAGTATACGGAACGACATCAAATACTCTTTTTTATCTTGGTCTTTATGCAGGATATCACTCTTTCATTAAGAACACGCTTTAGTTGTTGCAGATCATTTTCTGTAGATGGATTGAGCTATTTTATGTTCTGTAAGAGAACGTGACGTTTAAAATTGTCCCCATAATAGCTGCTTTTTTCATTCATTATGGGAGAATCAAGAAAATGAGGCCGACCGCTAACCAGTAATGCGGTGCGCTCAAGATGAGTAGAGGAAGCAGCTTTGGTCATAAGTAGTGGCGGTTCTTCTTGAAAAGAAAATTTTCTATTAAGAGAAGATAGTTTCCCACAGTGACCCTCTAAATGACAAACGTTTTTTTAGTAATGGTGACGTGTGCTTACCAAAATGGGCCTCATCTCCTGAGGAGTTCGTTCTACTTCACCGACAAGCTCTTGAAAGTGACCTGGTGAGCTGTCAGCTGAATCAGTGGATCGACCTCATCTTTGGTTATAAGCAGAAGGGCCCTGAGGCAGTGAGTATTTTTGCAAGAATCCTTTATCCTGTTTTTTTTTCTACCAGCGCAGTTCTTTTTGACTTCGTTTCCACTGTTTTTCTCAAGGACTTTATTTCACATCTACACCTTGATCTGCTCATAGAACAGTGCAGAATCTTCTACATACACATATTATTGTTCAAGGTTCGTGCTACGAACGTCTTCTACTACCTCACCTACGAAGGTGCCGTCTGCCTGAAGTCTATCGAGAGTGCCACCCAGCTTGAAGCTATTCAACAACAAATCACCTCTTTTGGTCAGACCCCTGTCCAGCTGTTGGCCGAAGCCCATCCACCGCGGCATTCCGTGATGACTATGGTATTTTGTACTCGATAAATTTAGTCCTACTTATTTATTCAATGCCTTTCTCGGAAACAAACAATTTTTAATTACCTCTTTAGGCTCCACTGATGTTCCGTCGCTGTGAGGACGATTTGTGCATGTTGATGAAATTCATCTCTAACAGCCCTGTCATCTTTTTGGCTGCCAACACTTTCCAGCAACTTCCACAACCTACCGTTGTCTCCGTCGCCCAAAACCTTGTTTTCGCTCTGAATCGATGGGATAACTCGTACACATGTAGGCATTTAGAAGTTTTACAATGCACTTACAAACTGTACTTTCACCTCAATGGTTCCTGGTCCTCGCCAGGCGTGAGGGTAATGGTTCCGCAGCGGTTGGAGCGCACCGCTTTTCTTTGGTCAAAAGTGCACGGAAACGTCGAGGGTCGTGAAACTAGGGCGCCGCCCACCCACTACATTCGCGCTGCCGCATCGCCAGCCACATGGTTGACCATAGCAGACGCACTTACTGAATCCTGCGCTTGCTCTCTCACTTTCGGATGTTGTAACCGCCTGAGCAGCCGTGTTCGCTAGGGGACTTTGGTATCAACGCAGGCGCTGCACATTGTGAATGGGGCGCATGGATAATGGAGACAGTACTTAGGTCTTACTATCCACCGGCCGCGTCGCGTGCACTTTTGAGCGGAGAAAGTGGAACGCTTTGGCAGCCGGTGTCCCATTCACCTCGCACATGGAGAAGACCGGGCTCTTGAAGCATTTGTACCCATTGCCATATCCCTGTAAAAATCTGTTTAATCCCACCCCTGCGGTGGCATTCTGCTCTTCCATGATGAGTGTTAGCCAGTTTGAACCCCGACCTGATTTCAAATCTTGTTTTTTATCAATTACCAAAACCTGGGAGGGAATGATAAGTCTTTTCAGTAACTTACCATTCAATATTTTCAAATCTAGGACATTTCTGTTCGGAAAATATTCTTACACGGAAGGTTCCCTTACCGTCCATACTACTGATGTTAGCTGTACCGAATGTCCACTGCATAACATGTTAAAGACAGCCCGGTCTCAAGTTAGTACATGGTCGTCCTTCCTTGTGCAAGTAGTACAGCCCCCAAGCTAGAGACTGTCCCACTCTCGCAACTCCACAGCGAGCGATTAGCGAGCTACAGCCGCTGAAAGTTCCAGTTCTAATGCCCGCCCAGTTGGACCGCCCACTTGCTAGATGCCCTCTGACGGAGGGCCGCTCAGTTGTTCTTTGTTGGGGCGGCGGGCATTAATTGGAATCGCATGCCCTTTTCGCTGACCGCGCTTGTGCCCATGAATGATTCTGCTCTCCTTTATTACATTTTATTTCATTAGGGGCACATACAGTCAACTCCAACCCATTTCGCAAAGTAAAACGTAAAAGCGTAAAGCGTAAAAATCACGAGCGACCCAATTTTCCATGGTGCAAAAGCTCGACGCACTTCACTACACTGAAATATGCACGCTACCGTAACCCTGAAATTCGGGCGCCGAGCTTTTTAAACGTTTCTTTTTCTTTTCAAGAGTTTTTCCTCTGGTTTTTGCCTATTTTTTGTATTCTTTCTTTTGCACCGATGATATCAACTACTGCGAGATGTGATAGAGAGATTTGTGAGCTAGGGGTTGCACAGAGACCGCAGGGAGGTGTGACTATGAGGAAGCGATATTGTTTATGGTGTTCTTGGAGCTCTTCTTCCTTTCTTCTTTAGGGAGATTACTTATCAGCTACTGCTTCATAATTGGAAAGTAACTATCCATGACACATTTATCGCGAGAGCTGTCTTTAGGAACTTATATAAACTTTTCCAGTAGCTCATCCAAAGAGTTCATTTCAGTAATAGATAGAACATACTACAGCACCCTTCATATGATTTTATTCAATTCTGGATGATTGTCAGTATTGCAGATGGTGCAGTTACAAGGAGCGCGCTGCCATTGAGTGTGACAAAGCTGGCGAAGCTGAAAGTGCAACGGTAAGCTGATCATTTCCATCTGAAAACTACTACCATGTTAGGTTTTGTGACCAGGTCACGTTTAATACTTGCAGGAAAACTTTAGATTAGTTACTAGCTGCGTCTGGTTTAGACATGGGGTGCCTTATATGGAGGTCAGTCTTCGAGTGAAGCAGCATGTGACGGGCTTTGGTCTTTAGTTCAGAGTGTTTCGCTAACTTGTTCGGGAAACTCCTCTGCTTTTCTTTTGGTCGTTCTACTTCAAAAGTCCCTCGGCTACTTTTGTTCACTTTTATCTTGAAATATAGATCAAAGAAGGTCAGCAAGCAACCAAAGGTTCTATGTTGAGCGTTCCGGTAAGATGTGCCAGGTTTCCACATTATTTTCTCAGAGCGCAGTGTTGCCACTTATGGTCCCAAAAGGATTGGAGGAAAAGCCTGTTTTGTTTGACCTTGAACGATGATATTCCATGTCATGTCACCGCGTGAACGGTAATCAAGCCTCGCGGCGGGAGGGACAAAAAGCGGTGTTGTCGCGTGAGCGACATTCGCACCAAGAGCCGATCAAGTTGATGTTACAGTATCTGTAATACTTGTGTGTGATTCTTTGAAGCCGCAAGGTGGAATATGTCGTGCTTCTTTGGCTCCATTGTGACAATAAAACTAGGGAAACAGGAGGCAGCTTTGGTGGCGTAACGGTTATCGCAGTCGTCGGGTAAGCGTAACCTGATGGTTCGAGCCCGCCCAAGGTCTTGTTTCGCGCCCATAATCGAGATACACTCTACAGAAGGAGTAGTCACGATAGCATTTTTATCACAACATGGCGGTTTGCTTCCGTTTCATTCAAAACTCAGACATCGGCTTCCTAGTCACTAGTTTTTCACCATCCCTCCATTATAAGATAAGTTTCGTGTGCAGACAGACTGACACACCAGCATCGATACCTTCAAGAATGAAGGTGTCTGTGCTGTGTGTCAGTTCCTTATATTGGAACTCTCATGAAGCTCGAAATTCTGGAGAGTTTGTAGTAATAAGCTCGCCTTGCCGAGGAGCACTACGCTTCTGCCCGGCTTCCTTCCCTGTAAGGGCACGTGCAAATCTGAACTACCCCTACTGAATATTTCCCCTTTATTCGCTTTTCAACAGAACCATTCATATTTTATTTTCAATGATTTTTCTATCTGAATCGGGTGGCGTATCCGCATTTTAAAAAAAATTGAGACTGTCTATAGCTATAAAATGCCTGCCTATCGAAACTGTGGGAACTTTTTCAGGTTTGTTCGCGATGTCGTTGTTCTTCTACTGTTGGCGGCTCATCTTCTGTTTGATGCTGTTACAAAACTCTCATTTAACCTTATTGGCTATATGTAACTTGGCTACTGTAATTCCTTTCAGAATGAACTGCCACTGACTGTCGATCCCTTACTGGCATCAGGAAATCCGTCAGTTCCTGTGGCACGTCGCCATCTTGGGGATTCTTTGGATCATCGACTAACCGTCCGATGGAACAATTTTGTTGCAACGACGGATAGCAGATGTCTGATAGCTTGTGGTTATCCGGACTACAGTTTTCGAGTGATTGACACGGATGCTGGTACGAGTTGCATGGCCCATGGATTTCATAGCGCTCAAAGTTTGTGTTTAGCGAGAGTACGACAAGTGATCTACGGTCATGGTGACGTTGTGACGTGTATTGCGCGATCCGAGACGAGTCTGTTTGCTGATTGCTATGTGGTAACTGGAAGTAACGACTGCACTGTTGCTTTATGGCATTGGAATGGACAGGTAAGTATAAAGGGTGAAGGGAACAATGGACTAGTTATTGTTCTACTATGAGAGAAATAGCTGTACAAGTATTATAGGAGTAGCTTTCATTAGCATATATGAACAGCTCATTCTCACATACACTTGTCTGACCTAAACTACTTTTAAGTTGAACTGTTCCAGTATCCAATAAGAATCGGTCACCAAACTTGAGAGAGCTGTGTTAACATGAGTTTTCTGTGTAGGGAAATGACTCAAAAAATCTGTACTTGGTTCTAGCAAGATTAAGCGCTGGGGGAAGTTGTGTACCAGAGCGTATATCATTATTGAAGAAGGGACTAGCCCAAGGCGATTGTGGCCAAGCCTGAGGGTGTTACGTGAAAGGATGTTAGAAAAAGAGGGGAGAAACGACTATGTCCCCTTAAAGTCTAAACTTGATCATTTCATTTTGGTTAGAAGCGAGTAACTGCCTTCCTTTCTCCTAGTAGGAGAAATCACTACAAAAAAGGAGTGGAAAAATTTATGTGTAAATGAGAGTTTTAGAAAATAGGACCTTGGAACTAGAGATTGATTGGAAGACACTTGCAATGTCTGATCTATTCTATTAATAGATAGAACTGAGTCCCGCTTTCTCTACCCTTCCGCCCTCCTTCCGCGATCGCCACACTTGCGTTGCAACTGGTATTGGTTATCGTGTGGAGGAGCAATAAGTGGTTGAGAAAACAACTATACCATGCTGCTTACGACGTGCTCGGCCTAAAATGCTAGTAGGGAGCTATATAGTGGGGAAATGGCGAAAGAACAGGAGTGAAACGGTCAAAATCCTGCGAAGGAAGAGCCTCCGTTCTCAATGTGTTAGAAATCAATTTCGGGTTTCCTATAGTTTCCCGTAGGCATCTTGCCAATAACCGCTACCGAAGGTACGGCTGCATATGTGTACCCATATATTCATGCAGCATCACGGCCGCGTCATACCAGTCCCTTCGCTTCATAATTCGCTTAGCAAATGAATCGATTAAAGCGTCATTAACGGTCGTCCATTTGTGGGCGGGCGGGCGTTTGGGTCGCAATGTTGTGGCTTGATAACGCCCTTATAAGGGCACCTCCCTCGAAGCGCCTGCTCAGGGTCGCGGAATTCCGTCCTGCCAGGCAATTTAATCCTACTCGTTTTAGGGGATTTATCGTGCCAACTGCCCTTAATAGGGGTGCATTCTCACTTACGACCGACGAACCCGTGCTAGATCAAAAGCTGTAGAGTCTTGCTAACTTCTTTTGTCTTCGAAGTGATCATTACTTGTAGTGGAATAATGGAGGACGTGTTGCCAGCAAGGTTTCGTTGCCGGTGAGTACAACACGCTTGGAGAGACGCCATCACCTCGAGCGATTCTCACTGGTCATGAAGCTGCTATTTCTGCGCTAGCTGTCTCCGCTGAGCATGGACTCGTTCTCAGTGGTTGCGAAGGTATGGACATTTCTTTTACGTGACAGGTACTTTACGCGTGAATAGTCCATCAATTTTTTTATGCGACTTCTAACTTTTGTTTCACCCGCTTGATAAGAATGGGAATTACTGCGGTAATGGGCATCAAGAATGTTCTAGTAGAGGCTTTGAAATATGACATGGCAAATTTTTGGTCAGGGCCAGATTTTTCTGGTACAGTTTAGAAGTGGAGCGCTCACAATGTTCAGCTGCATAGTAACCCCACATGACTAAGGCAGCGGAAAGTGCGAATAATTTGAGACTGTGCCACTGCAAGGGGCCAAGAACTACTGGAGAGAATTCTCTCTAATAGTTCTAGGCCCCTTGCAGTGGCGCAGTCCTGGTTTCATCAAGTGAAGAAACATTCAGACCTATAGCTCATGCTCGCTGCGTCCTGTTGTGACGTATCCAGTTAAGGCCTGGTATGTTATAGGAAGGGTAGGTAGTAGTGTTGAAATATGGAAGAAAAATAGCCAGGGGATTCGTCTGTGAAGAGAAAATGCAGAAGAGACTGTCGGAAAGGTCTGTAGGGCGCTCTAGCCTCAAGCACTGTACGAGTACAAGGTAAAAAAAACGCGCGTTGGGGCGAATCCGCTTAGCTGATTCTTTGTAATGAACCCTGAGATCCGGCCAGTGACAATGGAGCTGCCATCCTTGATACTTCGGTGGTCTGTTTCTCACTGGAAGCTAGACTTCGAAGGTGGTATATGGAGGCTGACTCAGTACAGAATTAGGTGCCAGTGGCTCCGTAGTGCCTCACCGCCTTCACTATACGACTTTCCATCAGAAAGATGTCAGCCGGCCACACACCCTAGTCAATACAAGCCTAATTTGGCCTTTGAGTGATCGCGTATCGTTCTTTAACGGGGCTCTGTTATAAGTAATTTCACAGCTGTTTTCTGTGACCGTATTTGATAAGCCTTTTGCAACACTTTTTTCCTAAAACATACGATTTGATATTATTTTGTTTCTTAATTTTTAGCACTAATTTTCGGCTGAAGACGGTATTCTGCACTGAAAATAAAAACTTCACTTGCGGACGACACTTTCGCTAGTCAGTTCTTTTAACCTCTTCTTTAGATGGTACCATACTTATGCACACGACGTCTGGCGAACTTCTGCGACGATGGAGTAGTCGACAACGGGTTTCGCAGCTGCTGATGAGTCGAGAGTGTGTTGTGATGGCCATTTACGGTCACCACAGTTTCGTCACGTTAACGACGACGGTATCAGCTTCAGACGAGGCTGTTGCCGATGATAAGTGCGTTCTTTATATGTTCGTTTCACGCTACAAGGAAATTTATGGATCTTCTTTTCAGGGTAGAGTGCGCATGTTTGACAAGAGATGGTGAGTACGTGATCACAGGATCGGAAAATGGACGCTGTACGGTTTGGCGCTTGTTCCCACTGCAGAAGCTATATGCCTTCCAGGTTTGCTCACAGTTCGAATTACTTTTCCCTTTTGCTCTGCGACGTTCCAGGGAAGACCTATTCACCCTTCACTGTTCCGTTTATAGAATAGTGGCTGGATTTTTCTCGAGAGCCAGCTTCAACAGTAGAAGCTAAAAATTCTATCCCTTGGACACGATTATCGAGTCCATTTGACACAAAATTACGTGGTGACCGCGCTACAGACGGTATCGGAACACCTGAGACCAGCGAAATCACTGAAAAGTGCCTTGGGCGGGTAAACCTCCTGGACATGAATAACACATACTTTTCACGCGAAAGCATTTGACCCTGACACCACCTTCTCAAACTAATACAGCTCCTCAAGGAGACGGTTGGTGATGACTGTGGTATTCGTGCATCCTTTCTCAAGTCAAGTTACTTTTTAATACAGATCCTTAAGTTTTTGTTTCATCAGGGAATGGTGGGAGGTCGAAATGGTCGTAAATAGAAAGGATGCCGATAAGTGTGTCTGGGGATAGTGATTCCAAATCCCTCTTTCGTATCTGCTGCGGACTTCTCTGAACACAGTTTCTAGACAAAGTCAACAGACAAAGTTTCTAGGCAAAGAAGTTTTTCAGTGGGAGCTTTTCCGCATCCAGTACGAATTCCGGGCACGTCCGAAGTTTGTTTTAAGTGCAGGGGTGCACCTATCTATGAACCTCCATAACTTCCCTCAGAGAGGTCTGCAGCAGATTTGGAAGACGATCATCGCCCAGTCAGTGCCCAACGAGCAGATTGCTAACGTCTTATTTGAAACAGTCACTGCGACCTAACATCCTCCCCTTGTAAAAAGTTTTGATCCCACACTTGTAATAGGCCTCCGCGACATTTTTTCGTCTCCGCGGACCTGACATTCAGGGCATTCAGGGGTTCATATAACCCATAAGAATTTGAAAGGTTCTCACAACCCTTACAAATAAATTTCAT